GAGAAACAGGCTTCCCGCTGAGCAGGGAGCCTGATGCGGGGCTCGATCCCAGGACCCCGGGATCATGACCTGAGCTGAAGCAGACACTTAACGACTGAGCCACCCAGGCACCCCATCCAGGGCCCTTTAAAACCCAGTTTGAAAATCTTAAAATTCTACAAAGGGGGTTTTCTTGCACCGTGGAGCCTGGGGAGGTCTAGTGTTATCACGTACCACCCATACTCAGAATAAAGCTTTAAAATGCATAAAATAAAATACACTGGATCACAAAGAAAGTCCATTATATTGAAGTAGTTAACATAATAAACTGTGTAATGGAGTAATGTATGTGCTTCTTTGTCAGCACCCTAATAACCAGGTCTGGCAGGTAGTCTAATAACCTCTGTGCTTGTAAGATTAGGATGAGCATAAATGATTGCAACAACTACAAAGTCATAGGATAGAGAACCTGTGCTCTTTGTAATGCATGTAATGGCGTTGTGGGCCACGAACACTCCTGGGGTTGGTTGCCTATGTTCATGTGGAAATGCTAAATTTCAGCTAGACGTTTCTGAAAAGAAAGATGCCATTATCTTCTCTTCCAAGTTCCCAGAGCCCTGAGTTCTTTGTCAGATGGTTAGGAGGGAGTAGACCCCTTTATAAGTGGTCCTGTCCAGTCCTGTCTAGGACAGAGGGGGGAGGTGACTCTCCAGGAGAAGGTAGTAGGTGGTAGGCCTGAGAAGTGAGGAGGAGCAGTGGTTGAGTCCCGGGCCCATTACAGCCCTGTCCCGAAGTAAAAGCCTCTACAATACATAGTTTGAACCCTAACCATGGGCGGTACCCCAGGACCTTGGCAGGCAAAGAGCCAGGAGCTTTCTGGGATCCAGTTCCTTCCACTCCTTTGGGGAGGGGGCTTGGGCCCATGCAACGGTAACTTGGCTCTCGTCCCCTTCCCCAGGGACCCACGTGATGGAGGGCTCTGGACGGATGGTAGTGACTGCTGTGGGGGTGAATTCTCAGACCGGCATTATCTTCACCCTGCTGGGGGCTGGCGGTGAGGAGGAAGAGAAGAAAGACAAGAAAGGTAAGCACAACCCCCTCACGGACCAGGAGAGGAGCTCTTCAGGTCACTTTTTTTGTTGTTTATTCATTCACTCAATGAAATAGTTATTGAGTGCCTTCTGTGTCTACGCCCTGTGCCAACAGCCGCCTCCTGCATCCTTGAGGATGCTCAGGCCAGGAGGTTCCTGTCTGTTCCATCTCTAGGGTCTTGTCCCAGTCTCTGTCTGTCCGGTCATGTCATGGAGGACCCTCCCCCGCAAGCCAGGCTCGGGGTGCTGAGCACTTTGCTGAGTCTCCAGCCTCGAGTGTGACCTGGTCCCCTCATCAGCCCTGATATGGAGTAGAAAGCCCCACCTGCACTCACTCCTACCACTATTCTCAACTCCACAGAGCAGAGCTGCAAACCACCCCACACACAGACTCGGCCCAGTTGGGGGCAGAGGAGATTCTAGGAAAGGTGGCCACACTTGTGGTTCCCTTTCTCACCCCTCCCCCACCCAGAGCTGCCACCTTGCCTGGGTCCTGGCTCCTCCTCCGCCTTGGAAACAAGATTCCTACTCCCCAGGGTCCCCCTCAGCGTGGCAGGCTGGTAGCCTGGGCTACAAGGGCCTCTCAGAGCAGAGGGAGGGATGCTCATCTGGCCAGGCCCAAATCCAAAGGCCCAGGCCTCTGGCCCCAGAGCATCCGGCTCCTTCCCCAACACCTACGCCCAGTGTCAGGGACAGACCCCTCTCACATCTTTAGTCTTTTGTCCTGTCTCCTTCCCCAAGCTCCAGAAGGGGGTCCCCAACAGCCAGACCATCTGCGGTCCAGGGGAAGGAGATGAGAATGTCGACGGCCCCTCCCTGAGGTTTAGGGGCAGCCCTGCTACCCCCAGCTCTCTGCAGCTAACCAGGCACAGAGCCTGGGTCAGAACCAAAGGTCACTTGTTCCCAAGGGCAATACCCCATTTTCTAGAGGGATCCCCCTAAGATTATGGCAGCCCCACCAGCAGGAACAGTGGAGCTGTGCTGTCCTCAGGCAAGTCCAGAGGCTGGAGAGAACCAGGAAGCTGCTGAGGTTGAAACTGAGGATGAAGTCCTAGTCAAGAGGCCCAGAGGGTGTCAGGACAGCATCCAGAGTGACATAGAAGCGGTGGCCGGCTCTGGCCCCAGCGTGCAGATAGCTGGGCAAATAGAGGCAGTGGGCAGGATATGGCAGGATGAGGCAGTCTTTGCCCCTTTTCTTAGCCTCACTGGGGCCTGGGTGAGGGGCAGAAGCCAGACCTGTGTTCTCGAAGATTTCGGTAGGAAGACAGGCCTCTCCTGCCCTGAAGCACAGGTCAGAGTCCTTTACTGAACACACACCTGCACCCCAGTGAGATGGGGGTGTCCGTGTGGAGGGAAGAAGTGGGATGTGGGGGGGCCATGGCAGAGGAAGACAGGGGGCAGCCGAGCCTCTCAAGCGCCCGTGAGCAGCATGGCTGCTCCATGACTGGAGCGCCTCTGCACTCCCATCCCATCCCTTTCACCTCCACGTCAGGCCCCCAGGTCAGGATGACCTCAGGCGTGCGTGTGCGTGTGCGTGCGTGCATGTACGTGCAGGTGAGGCTGTATGTGCTTCTCCTTCATTAACGTGTCTCAAAAATCATCACACAGGTGTGAAGAAGGGGGATGGCCTTCAGCTACCAGGTACAGTAAGACCCCCTCAGGGTAGACGGGGCTTTTAGAAGTAGCAGCAGCCTTTGACCCCTGAGCCGTGGCCCTAGACCCCCAGCACACAGCTGGAGGAGGCTCCCTGACCCCCCAGCCCCTCCGCGGTGCCCCCACGTGATGCCGGCCCCGCTGGAGGAACCAGCACCTCACTCCGCCTGTTGGCCCTTCCGGTGCTTTGCCCTGCCCGCCGACGCACACGGCACCACCACCACCATCTCCACACCGACCCCACACAGCCCTCCGCCGCCCACACCAGCGTGCGGTGCCCCGCTCACCGCCACGTGACCCCACAGCCCTGCTCTCCTGCGCACACCCCGCAGAGCCCGTCCCGCCGCCCCTCACCACACAGCACGGACACCTCACCCACTAGTGTCTCTTCCCTCTCCTTCCCGCACAACCCATCTGCCCCCACCCCAAGAAAGAACAACCAGAGTGCATCTGACCATCTCATGTCATTTTTAATTGCTGAACTAAGGAAAACCAGCCAGTACCTTCTCTGTCCCATGCACAAAGTGCGACATGCTGGATGTCACCTATTCAGTGATGGGGCATCTCGTATGGGGGTGACCAAGGCGATCTATAGCGTGCTGGTTAGGAAGGAGGAGGTGGCCGTGGGCAGTGGCCTGAGTCAAGGGCTCGAATCCTGAGTCACCGCCACTGCTGGATGTCCCTCTGGGCCTCAGTGATGGTGGTCACAGCAAGTACCCGATCAGAATGGCAGGTGCCTACACTGCGCTGGTTGTTGAATGTTTTGAAATGAGTCCTGGCCATGCGTCCCTCTGGCCCTGACGGGCAGCCAGATGCCCTCTCATAGAAACTTCTCTGATGGGGACCTGCCTGATTGGCGTGGCCGGAGGGGTGCATCGGTCCAGACCTTGGCACAGAACAGTGCCATCCTACCTAACCACATTGATCATCTGCCATGTTTTATTTCAAAGACCGTCCATGTCTGAGTTTTTTTCCCTGGTTTTTATGGCATCTCTATGGGAACATTTCACCCTCACCCCCCCGCAAATTTGAGTTTCTTGATTTCCAACGGAGATTTTATTTTTTTAAGAATATAGTCATGTTATTTCCCACAAGTTGGTTCATGTCCTTATTGTTGTTGCTGTTCTTCATTGTTGCTTTTCTCCATTGTGACACACTGCATTTTCCATCCCTCCCACCCCCACAGCGGCCGATGGGGCAGCAGGTTCAAATGCTACAGATAGTGCAAATACCAGCCTAGTCAATGGTACGTCTCCGATGGCGAGCTCTCGGTCTCGGTTGGATGGGCGTCTCTCCCCCCCACCCCCAACTCTGGTCTTGCCTCTCCCTGTTCTGGACTGCACAGATCTTGGATGTGCATGGGCAGCTCTGGGACCATCGTCCTCCCACGTGGGGCAGGCGCTTAAGAGAGAAGCCACCACCGGGAAGTACGCTCCACGCCCGCTTGCGGCTGCCGACGTAGGGGCCTGTTGGGGCCCTTGACCCCCAGCGGGGCCCGGAAGAGGGACATACCCTGGGCTTCAGATTTGGCTCCCAAGAAGCAGCATCCCACCCGACGTGGCCCTCTCCTAAGCACACTCCTGGCCCCAGCTTGGGGAAGAAGGCCTGGGGTCAGGACCTGGGCTGAAGCTGGTGTCTGGGTCCCTGCTGAAGGCTCCAGTCCTCAACTCAAAAATTCCCTCGAGGCAGGGGGACCCAGGCCAGGGTTCAGCTCTTTGACCTCACCCCATAGCATGGCTGAGCCACTGATAAACATTTCTTCCTCTTCTCTTTCTCGGAGTGAACGGGCAGGGGACTCGCTTGGGCTCGGGCCTGGTTCTGTCCCTCGGACGTGGACTGGTGTTTCCTGCTGTTGCCTGTGCTGGAGCATTTGTCCTGAGTCTCTGCATTCTTACGGGCCCCCTTACGGGGTGAGGGGTGGCGGTGGGGGGCTGCCACAGTACCTGGGATCTGCGTTTTAACCTCCTTACCCACAGGCAAGAAGGAATTCCATTCACTTGTCTCTAAACCTTTAGAGGATTTCTTATTTCTGTGCCCTCCCATCTTCAGAGTGACAAGGCTTCTGTGTACTCAGATAGGTCCCCTGTCCCCAAATTAGGTAGCATGATAGTCACCCAGGCTGAGAGCTGTAGGGCTTGATCATAAAACCGTTGCCCCGGGGAATCGAAGGAAGGGAAAAGCCTTTCTTGCAGCATCGCTGCATACGAGGCACCGGGGGCTGTGGCTTTCTCACCCATTATATCGTTTCCTCCTCACCACTCCTGGAAGACATGAAGATCTTGCCCTACCCCATACTCCCATCCCCTGCCCCAGATCTCTGGCTGAGCCGCCTGCATTCAAAGTGACCAATGATCGAAGCACCTCGTAGATGTCAGGGGCCAAGCAAGACACTTCTGTGAGCTGCGCCTTGCTAATTTGGGTGTGGGTCTATTTCAGGCTCTGGAGGAGAAAGGAGAACAGCTTGGGGTGTGGGAGGTGTCATGCGTCAGGGAGGGGTGGCAAGGGATGACAGGGAGAACCAATATAGGCAAACCCAGGCAGCAGGAGAAGGAAAGAGGAGCCGGCTTCTGCTTCCCCCACAGCAGTGAGCCCACTGGGCTCAGTGAACATACAGACTGCATCCAGGCTGGTCGGTCCCAAAAAAAGGCAGTTGCACTTCCAAACTGTAGCAGAAAACTCCTAGTATCCTGAGAAAAACTGCAGGAAAGATGGGAAACTTGACCACCTACTGTATGCCAGGCACTTTACAAACATTACCTGCTCATGGCCTCATTTGATCCTCATGACAGCCCTGCGATACAGAGTTTATGGTCCCCACTTTAAAGATGGGGAGACTGAGGCTCGGAGAGATCAAGACACTAGCCCAAGGTCACAGAAGGAGAAAAGTAGCAGAGCTGGGATTTGAACCCAGGCCCGCTGGCTCTAAAGTGCATACTCCACTTCCTGATCCAGGGTTCCCCAAAGGAGTGTGTCTTGTAAACTTCACAGGAATATTAATAGGTCCTGCCCCCAAGAAAAGGATCCTGTGGTCAGAGATGTTTAAGAACCGTGGGACAGAATTGGTCTCTTCCTTATTGCAGAGCTTCTCAGAACCTTGAATATGCTGGTATATAGTGGAAAGTTAGCCATGGAGGCCTTCCCAGGCTGATTTGGCTGCAGGACCTTTCCTGGTTGAATCTTGTGGGATTGGTATGTCTCTATAATATACTTAGGGAATAGTGCTCTAAGCCATTGCTTCTCCAAATGTAATCAGAGGACCAGAAGGCAGGATATCTCCTAGGGGCCTGTTAGAAATGCAGAATCTCAGGCCCCACCCCAGACCCACTGAACAAGAATCTGCATTCTAATAAGCTTTCCAGTCTATGGCCATAACACCATGAACACGCCGGATCTCGTCTAGTAAGCTCTCCAGGCTCCAGGTCAGAGTGTATTAAAGGTTGAGAGGTGCCAGGCTGAGCCTTGGTCAATGACAGAATTAACCATTCCTTTCCCTCCTTCCTCTGAGCCAAATCAGGATGATGTGGATATAGAAAACACACTCAGCTGGTAGAAGTCCCTCTGATTCCCCCCCCCAAGCCCCCTCCCAACTGAAAGCGGGTGTGTTCCATTCATCTTGGAGGCATTATGATTGCCATTATCATTTTATTATTTTTTACATTTATTAACATATCACTGTTTAATACATTGCTTGTAATCACAATTAGTAAATACATCACTCTGAACTCCAGACATTAACAGGGCACTTTGTGGTGCTTTTCATAAGCACAACCTTGGTTGAAATTGTCACCTGTCACGGGGCAAGAAATGGAGGCACAGGCAAGAGAAGTAACATTTCCCAGTTCACCTAGTTAGTGTTCCGTCTCCCCACAGCTTGTTTATCAGGTCGCCTCACCGTGAATCCTCCACACACACACTTTTCACACTTCCTGGCGATGCATGAAGAGAACAGACCCATTTGTCGAAGCTGCATCTGGCAGCTTCCGAGTCTCCACTCGAGTTCCCCATCCCAGCTCCCCTGAAACAGCCCCCTCTTCCGGTCATGCATGGAGCCAGATCTGGCTGTCCCACCATAGTTCTGGGGCCAGGCGAGCTCCACTTTGGCTGAGAAAAACCCCAGATCAGTCCCTTGCTTCTGAGAAACCAGGCCATCTGCACAGAAGTACCCCCACAATGCCACTCCCTCCCTCGAACATATGCATTGGTGATTATTTTTCTGGCCACGTGATCACTATGGAAATAAAAGAGGAAATTGCTAGCTTGGTTAATGGGCGCACACATGGGCTATTGCATCTGATAATATGCAATGCAAATAAGGCCCCTTTGTGTCTTCTAAAACCAAGTATCGAAGAGGAGTCCTCCCGTGTCCTTTAGCCCAGTTAGTAAAATTATTTTTAAAAATAAAGATAATTGTTGTAGTTCATTCCTGTTGGCTCTAAAAAGGCTTTTTCTGTTTTGTTTTTAATCCAGCAAAAAGAACTTTGCAGTAAAGCAACGGGGGCCCTTCTCTTTCCATCCGCCCAGGGGGGTCACTGACCCTTGGCTGTGAGAGGCAGTGGGAACAGCCCAGCATTTCCCCTGGAGAGACAGCACAGGGCCGGGCCCCTCGGAGTCACCTACGGTGTGGTGTGGTGACGGTGATGGCAGTCGCAGGCTTATCATCAGGATGCTCCAGAAAGGAGAGCTGCCTCGGAAACTCCCATGGTCTCAGTTTCCCCGTCTGTAAAATGAGAGTGATGAGAATCCCTCCCATCCCACCCGCAGGGTATCGGGAAGATGGGCAAGAGATGACACTCGCAAACTGCAAAATGCTCAACGGGCAAGTGGTTACTGCTAAGGCAACTATCAGGTGCTCCGGAAGCTGAATATTGCATCCCCATTTTACAGAGGTGGAAGCTGAGACTGGGAGTGGTAAAGCCGCACAGCTAGTTGGTGTCAAAACAGGGGCTTCAGGAGCCCAGTCCCACCAGGGCTGCCTTAATGCCCCTCCTCTGGGCTCAGAGGGACTGAGGGATAGCTGCCTTCTCCCCAGCTGTGGTGGAAACATTGATGCACTTTGGGGCCAGCTCTCCATTAACCTCCTGGGACCCGGGCAGGCCGTCTGCCTCTCTGAGCCTCAGTTTCTCATCTGTAAGTGTGTGCAGTACAGGAGTGCCCTTGCAGGGATGTGGTGTGGATTAGATGAACTCATGGAGGTTCTATATGCGCCTGGCACATGGTGGGTTCTCACAGAACGTGAGCTATGAGAATCCCCTTCACAGCCAATGGCCAAGGGTGGCTGACCTTCTCAGACTCCTCCCAAAGTGGCGCAAGGCCCATGGGAAGAGCTCTGAGTGAGCTCAGAGAACAGGCCAAGGGGACAGGAGGAAACCCCCTCTCTGCAGTGCCAGCAGGTAAAGGCAGGTGTCTCAACTGCCAACTGGTGACAACCAGTACCTCCCATGCTGCAAACCCAGCCCACAAGCCTCTGGCCGAGACTGGGGAGGGGGCCTCCCAGGCAGCCCTGATTAGGAGGTGAGCAGCCCCAGGCTCAGCCCTTTCCCTAGCACTGGCATACAGGGCCGGGGCAGGGGGGCACCCAGGGGAGCCCACTGGCCTGACTTCCCTGTCTACTAGGGCCGGGGCTGCTCAACCTCAGAATAAAGAGCATATACCCAAGTGGAGAGGAGGGGTCAGCAGCTTCCCCCTGAGAGCCAGGACGCTCCCCCCAAGCCCCCTGAACATGCTTGGGGCACCTCAAAGCCCACCACTAGGGAGCCCTTGCTCAGCCTTGGCATGGGTCACTCTCAGTGGAGCTGGGCAGGGGTTCGTCCTTGCTGCGGCTTCACACTCCTCCAGATGGAAAAGGAGAAAGTAAAATTCTACATATGTCACTCCTGGAGCCAGAAACTAAGGAACACATTGACCAAAGTCCTCCCCTTTCTAGAATCTCTCTGTCTGTCTGTCTCTTTCATTTCCTTTGCCTCCTCTCAGCCCACCAAAGGCACCAACCAAATTAATCACTGGGGACCTGAGGACCCCTCTGCTTTCTGCCAGCCAACTCTGGTCCCTTTTACCCTCAGAGGCTGTCATTTAATCAGTACCCTCAGGGCTGAAATAATTCCCACTGAAGCTCTCTCTCCAAGCTCCCAGAGAATCAGGACAGACCCTGCAGCCAGTGCGGTGGCCGGGTTTGCTCTTGTCTCAGGGCCTCCCCAGCGTCCCCATGTGGAGGGACAGAGTTGGCTCGGCCCTTCCTCCATCTGTGACGTGAATGTCCGTGGCCCTGTTGCGTCTTTGTGATGATCGACATGTGTTGTCTGTTCTCTGTTGTCTGTTAAAATTCTTTGTCGTGTAGGTAAAATGCAGGATGGCAATGTGGACGCCAGCCAGAGCAAAGGTAACCCTTTTGTATTCACCGGCTTCTGTGGTCCCTGCAGCCCCTCCCCCATTGGCTCTGAGAGCCAGGCTAGAAGCAGACAGGTCCGCACCTGCAGGTGCCTGACATCTTTGAGGGGGGCTGTGATTCACGTGGTGCCAGGCCCAAAGGGGGAGGGGGCTGTGATTCATGTGGGCTGTGATTCACATGGTTGCCAGGCCCAATGGAGACATCACCGGTGAGGACAGGGGCCACCTGTGAGCCGGCTCTTCCCCAGCCTTGGAGCTATGCTGCCCATTTAGCTGAAGACTTGAAGCTGGTTCTTTGGGATCCTTAGGGGCTAAAGGGTAAGGCCCCAGACCCACCAGTCAGTCCTTCACTGAAGGAGGAGGGGCTTGGCACCCATGGATAAGGACACTCTCTTTTATCTTTTAAGCCCCCTTTTTGTTCCTCCTATCTGGCAGCTACTTAATATCCCAACAACATACTCAAGAACCAACTGGGGATGCCCAAGCCTATCTGTCTTGTCTAAATGTGGGAAAAGCTGAGGGGCCATTTGGGGAAGGATCTGTGGGCTTGTTCAGGCCCAGCGGGGACCCCAGCCTACTCCTACTGGGAATCCAAGGTGGAACTGTGTCACTCCCTGTTCACACCTGGATTCCAGGTCCGAGGCAGCTACTCGCCCTGGGACCTTGGTCTCCAGCTGGAAGAGGCAGACCCTATATCACAGGATGTCTGTGCCAGCCACGCAGGGGGCCAGACGAGGGAGTGAATATCTCACCACACTCCGCTGGGCAGGCAGGGTGGGTGCCAACATCCCCACCCTGCAGGCTGACCTGGCTATGTGCATGTCTGTGTGTGTGCGTGTGCGTGCGTGTGCATGCATGTGCGTGCTCTGCCCCCTGCAGCCAAACAGCAGGACGGGGCAGCCGCCATGGAGATGCAGCCCCTCAAGAGTGCCGAGGGTGGCGACGCTGATGACAAAAAAAAGGCCAACATGCACAAGAAGGAGAAATCCGTGCTGCAGGGCAAGCTCACCAAGCTGGCTGTGCAGATCGGCAAGGCGGGTAAGTGTGCGGCCACAGGTGGATGGCACAAGGGGGGACGTGGGGTACACAGAGGGACCCCAGCCAGGGCTCTGACCCCAAGCTGGCTCTCCGTTGCCTCATCTGCAGAGTGGGGGCTGGCATGAGATGGTCCCTGAGACCCACCCTTTTCTACCCCAGCAACCAGCCTGAGTCCTTACACAATAGGCGCTCCAGTAGTAGGTTGGAGCAGGGGAGGACAGGGACGGATTGGGGCTCTAGACTGACTCCCCTGCCCCAGCTGCAATGCAGAGGAAAGATTGAAGAGGTTGAGGGCAGTGCCAGGAGCCCAGTGAGAAGCCTCCTGTCTGAGCCTCAGCACAAGCCCCGATTCCCCACCGAGCTGGGAGCTCCAGGTGATGGCTGGTGGCGGCCCCTCCAGCCCAGGAAGCCGAGCCCAGCTGCAAGGCGAGCCCTGCCCGGCTGACATGGCCTTGGCCTCTCCTGCCGCATGAGGACACGCAAACACCAAGGCCTCCCCACCTGGCTGTCTCCCGGCTCTAATTATAGGCACCACAGCGTGGAGAAGGGAGGCAAATTACAGGCTTGGCTGTCTATATTTAAACTCGGGGCCTGGTGATAGCTCCCGGCTGCTGGGAGCTTGGCTTCCCGCCCCTGTGACTGCCAGATGGGGATAGAGCCGGCTCTGAAGTCCCACAGCTGGAGGTGGGGGCAGGGGAGCGATGGAACCAGGGATTTCCTCCATCCCCGGCATGGAGAAGACTCCACAGAACCACAGCACAGGCACTGGGGGGCAGGGAACAGAGTGATGAGAACCACCCGTGGCCTTCAAAGCTCTTGCTCATCCCCCTCCCCTTCCTCAGCCTTGCCAAGAACGTAGTTCAGGGTCAAACATTTCTAGGTTCACATCCTACCTCTGCTCCTCTCTTGGGCTGAATTCCCTGAAGCAGAGCCTGAGATGGGTGGACGCAGGATTTTTAGGGGCGAGGGTGCTCTCGGGTGAGACCTATAGAGGGTAAGAGACTCAAAGGGGCCAGGGAAAAAGCCAGATACTTCCTGGAGGAATCCCCGTCTCTACCTACCTCTGCAGGGTCTTTCTGGCCTCGCAGCAAGGGGACTGGGCTGTTGGACCCCCCTCCTCCTCAGCCATTGAATATTGGCCATCACACTGGGGTGGGGTTCCGTGCCGGGTCCTTCCTAACCAGGAGACAGTGCTCTCTGAAGCGTGGACTTCCTCTGGCAGAGGCTGGAGGTGTGCACCCGCACAGAGCCAGAGCCCTGCAGCACCCCGAACGGGTGAGGGGGTCCCCGGGCATCCGAGCAGGTACCCGCCCGCATCTGCCAACTGTGCAGGGCTTCTCTGGCCTGTGGCCTTGGACAAGTCCCTTCCCCTCACTGACCCCAGTGTCCTCATCCGAAAAAGGGCCCCCTGCTCTTTCCTCTTTCCGGAACGCTCTTTCTGCAGGTCACCATCTGGCTGATACTTCTCATCATTCCCTAGCTTCTCAAGGAGAACCTCCTCCAGGAAGTCTTCCCTGGACAGCCTAGCTAAAGTAGTCCCTGTCCACCAGCCCGTGTTGTTCTATTTTCTTTTTTGAAGTTTTATTGAAGTACAATTAATATACAAAAAATTACACACATTTAGTGTACATCTTGATAAATTTGGACATATGCGTACACCCGTGATGCCATCACCACAAGCAAGGTACAAAACATCCCCCACCTCCAAAAATTCCTGTGTTCTTTCCTGGGTTTTTCCGTTTTCCGTTTTTTGGGCTCAGAACACTTAAGAGGTAGATCCAGCCTCTTAACCAGTTTTGAAGTGCACAATACTCTATTGTTCACCGTAGGCCCCGTAGTGTAGAGCAGAGCTCAAGAACTTCCTTATCTTGCATAACTGAAACCCTATACCCACTGAAAAACAATCCCCTCCCCCTCCCCACAGCCCCTGGCCACCACCCTTCTACTCTCTGCTTCTGTGAGTTTGACTATTTATATATATATAATGTCCTCCAGGCCCATCCATGTGGTCGCAAATGGCAGGACTTCCTTCTTTTTTAAGGCTGTGTGTCTATATCATGCCGTCTTTACCCATTTGTCTGTCGATGGACGTGGGTTGTTTTCTTACCTTCAGCCCATGCCGCTCTCTGTCGTGTTATCCTACAGTTTTTCTACACAGCATTATCCCTACATGGATGGTCTTTTTCATGAGTGTGTTGCTTCTTGTCTGCCTCCCCCTCTGGAGTCTCAGCTTCCCAAGGGCAGGGACTCTGTCCTCTCTAGTGCTGTGTCCCTCGCTCCTAGATTAGGAGCTACGAGGTGCCTGGGTGGACGAGTCGATAAATGGTACCAGCTGCACATGATTATGTGCGAGAACTATGCAGGCAGTTCAAACTAATTCACGTGGTCTCGGCACACATTTCCTGAGCACCCACAAGGTGTCGGGCACTGTGCCAGGCGCTTTACGTGCATTCATCACATTTGATCCTTGCAAAGCCATGTGAAATAAGCAGGCATCCCCATTACACAGAGGAGGAGACTGAGGCTCTGTGAGGATCAAGGACGTGTCCCAGGCCACAAAGCTAGTAAGTGGCAGAGCTGAGATGTGGGTTAGAATCTGCCTGGCCAAGTATCTGGTCTCCATCTCACTTCCCAGGGCCCCCACCCCCTGAGCAGGTCTCCCCCCGACCCGTGTTACAGGTCTGGTGATGTCGGCCATCACGGTCATCATCCTGGTGCTCTACTTCACCGTGGACACCTTCGTGGTCAACAAGAAGCCATGGCTACCCGAGTGCACGCCCGTCTACGTGCAGTACTTTGTCAAGTTCTTCATCATCGGCGTGACGGTGCTGGTGGTCGCCGTGCCGGAGGGGCTCCCTCTGGCCGTCACCATCTCGCTGGCCTACTCAGTGAAGGTGAGAAGGAGAGGACCGGATGGTGCAGCTGGGATTGGCTGTCCCCAGCAGGGGCTCTAGGGGGTGGCCCGTGGGGCAAGCGCTGGGGCCGGCAGTAGAGCTAAGAAGAAGGAAGGGGGCACCTTGGAAGCTGGGAGAGGAGACCTATGCCGGAAGCCGGAGCTCACATGCCCTCAGGGAGTCCAGGGCCTGTGGCAGCCCTGAGGGCCACATCTTGGCTACAGGAACAACCATGATTCACCCCAGCCAAGTGTTGCCTTGCTGATGCACCCCCACACACACATTGCCAACTCTTCACATTTTTCCCAGAGAAGCCAGAAGCCTGGACTTAATATATTGATTTTTAAACATTGGTCATCACCTCCACTTTAAAAAAAAATTTTTTAAAAAAAACATAAAAAGCAGACCTCACCATGCAGGCCCAAACCCATCCCCATCCCACCCCACCAAATGTAAGGAAAAGTCTGTGGTCAAAGCTCCATGGAAGCTGTGCTACTTCAGCAACTCATCTCAGAGGTTGTTCCCTGAAGTTGGGAAGAGATGAGCCTAAAGCCAAAAGAGATCTGATTTAAGGAAGCCCCCTCCTCTCCGGGAATGGGCTGAAAATGGAAGAGGTTTTAAAAGCAGTTTAATGAAGGGTGGTAAGCCCATGAAAGTTGACTGTGGACACTTGGGTCTGGGGGGGGTTGTTTCTAGTGCTCCCCGGATGGCAGAACCCCGCCGCCCCCTGCTCCCAGGCCGTGGCCATCCATGGAGCCCGAACACTGGGCTGAGCATCTCAAATGGGCACTTCAAGCTTGGCTCACATCACAGCCTCATTCTCTTCCCTTGGCCCCATGGTTTTCCCACCTCGGAGGGCAGGGCTCTGCACTCCTGATGCCCAGGGCCCCAATGCCAGGACGTCCCTACGAGGATGGAGGCCTGAGCATGTTTATAAACAAGGCGTTGGCTCTGAGACATTGGCAGAGCTGCCGGAGGGCACGGCGGGCGTCAGTTTCCAAGCTGGAATTTGGATTGGGCTCACCGATGTAATTTCATACAGAAAAGAGATCTCCAGGCAGGTGCCAGGAAGTGGCAGCCCTAGGTAAAAGATACGGCCCTTATCGTCTCCTTGTTTTAGGGTTCTTGAAGAAACTCCATCCCACAAACCAAAGCCCAAACAGGTCACAACACGATGCTGCTTGGGGGCCTGGGGCCCAGAGATGGAGATTCTCATACAGCCATGAGTGGGGACCCCCACAGCCACCCAGCTGAGCTCGGGGTGTCTTGAAAGTCGCACAGAGGTAGTTTGGGGGGGATCATGCACAGACATTTTTAGGCCTCTGCACCTTCTGCAGTTCGCATCTCTGGCGCCTGGTGCCTTCAGCTGTCTTAGGTCGTGTTACTTATATAGTCACTTGATAAACTGAGTACAGCCCCAACCCAGGAGAGGCAAACTCTGCTCTCTCTGAGCCTGGCATACCCACCCTGGGAGCCGCCATCAAAAGAACAGAGATGACACTCAGAGACACAATGTGAGCCATATGTGTGATTTTAAATTTCCTCATAGTCATGTTAAAAAAAAAAAAAGGTAAAAAGAAACAAGTGACATTAATTTTAATAATATAATTTACTTTACCTATTATGTCCAAATTATTAGCAATCCAACATGTAATCAATATACAAATCACTAGTGAGATATCTTACATTGCTTTCTTCATAATAAGTCTTCAAATTCCAACACGTATTTTTACACGTACAGCACATTTCACGTCAGACCAGCCACATTTCCAGTGCTCAGTAGCCACCTGTATATTCTTAAGCCCAACAGATGAACCATCTTCCAAGAGTACAGATGGGCAGGGGCCCGATGGAATGATCCAGGCTGTGAAGTTAAACAGAGCCAGGCTCCAGTCTCAGCTTTAACCCTCATTAGGTGTGTGATCCTGGTCAAATCACTTGGCCATGGCTTTTCCATTTGCCAGCGTGGAGGACCACAATCCTCAAAGGTTTCACAGGCCTCTTGTAACATCAGACAAGAAAATAAGCCTGGAAGAATTTTGCAAACCATAAAGTGTGTTGTTATTGCTCATCCCTTACACATACATGAAGTGTTACTATTATCACAGGTTATAATAAGAGAAGACTGCAATACCATATAATTCTACCAATACTCATTCCTTAGTAACATGAACTGCTATTAAAATTATTCTAATTGCACTCTTTTTTTTTCCCTTTTTATAAAGAGTTATTATGATGAGCAAGAATAAAGGAAATCAGATTCTCAGGAACAGACTAGAAGTATGTCTGACTCAGCCTCTAGCAACTTCTCATGTCCCTCCTTGCCAGATGGGGTCACTGTGTCAGCAGGGCCTGCCTTTAGAGTGGCAGTTCCTTGAGAATGACTTCATTTGCTGAGTTGCTTGAGAACCTCGAAGAAGCTAGGAGTGGAGCTGGAAAGACAGAGAGGAAGGAGAATGCCAGAAAATTCATAATGATATGTATGGTAGGATTTCATTCTTATTATAAATTTAGAAAGAAAAGATGTCGATACATAAGCTGTATCCATTCTGGGTGATGGCATTATGATGGATTTGTTTTCATTTTTGTGTATATTGAAAAGAAATTTGTGATTTTTATTACATGAGGTATAATATGCATTCAATGCAGAAAAAATCGAATCTGTAGATTTTTTTAAAAGAAGGCAATAAAAATCTCCTGTAATTCTACCACCCAGAAATAATAACACTAATATTTTGACATTTTTCCAGATACTGTCCTATGTCTATAAACACATATATCTATCCTAAATTTATTTCTTTTTGGTGGAACCAAAAATGACAATGAAAACCAGGCACCAGCAAAAGATTTGAAAAGAAAACCCTTAACCAAATAAAGGATGGTTACTTCTGCTAGGGTGTAAGAGAAAAATATTTGAGGTCATTGGAAAGGACTCAACATTAATTTATCACCCTTTTCCCTATTTTTTCCATAAGGAATACAGATTACTTCTGTATTCCAAATTAATAAAATCTTGTAAGTGGTTCAAATAAGGAAAGCGAAGGAAAAGCCTACACACACACGGAGCCCCGATGTCCGAGGCCACGGGCACATGCCCTTTGCACATGCAGGAAACCAAGGGCAGACTGCAGCAGCTCTGCCCCACTTACTGCGTGCTTCCCCAGTGCCCCCACCCCACGCCCTGGCCCCCCGACTCCCTCTCCTCACTGTCGCCCTCTCACCTGCCCCTGCCCCCAGAAAATGATGAAAGACAACAACCTGGTACGTCACCTGGATGCCTGTGAGACCATGGGCAATGCCACCGCCATCTGCTCAGACAAGACAGGCACACTGACCACCAATCGCATGACAGTCGTGCAGGCCTACGTTGGCGATGTCCACTACAAGGAGATCCCTGACCCCAGTTCCATCAACGCCAAGACCATGGAGCTGCTCGTCAACGCCATTGCCATCAACAGCGCCTACACCACCAAGATTCTGGTGAGTGGCGCGGCCTCCGCTGGAGGGAGTGAGGTCCGCAGGGTGACTCGCAGGTACCAGGCAGAGTGAGCGACGGGATTCCTATTTTTGAATCCTGCTGATGTATTTTGGGGTGGTCGTATAGTAAGCAACTTCTTTCTCTTTGATTTAACAATGATGTTTATATGACCAAAAAAAAGTCTTAATTGTGTTTTTTAGATCCTGTCATTGTCCCCCTTATGAAAACAAAACAAAACAAAGCAAAACACTTTTTATTAGTTGGCTTTTGCTCCATAACTAACTACCGTAGTCCCCCTTATCTGCACTTTCAGTTACGAGCAATCAACCTCAGTCCCGTAGCTGCTGACCGTCCTTCTGGCATACCATCAGAAGGTCGAGAGTAGCCTAGTGCTATGGCACACACTGTATCATTCCCCTTCATCTCACCACGTAGGCATCTTAACATCTCACATCGGCATGACAAGAAGGGTGAGGACAGTACAGTAAGATATTTAGAGAGTGACCCCATTCACATAACTTTTACTACAGTATATTGCAATAATTGTTCTATTTTATTATCAGTTATTAATCAGTTGTTAATCTCTTACTGTGCCTAGTTTATAAATTAAACTTTATCACGGATATGCATGTCTAGGAAAAAACATAGTATACATGGGGTTTGGTATGATCCACAGCTCTGGGTGTCCCCTGGGGGTCTTGGAACGTATCTCCCGAGAATAAGCAGAGACTACTGTACTCCAAAACTTAGGGGCTCAAAACCAAACTGTGTATTTACAATTCTGTGGGGTGGCCATTCAGGCTGGGCTCAACGTGGTGGCTCTTCTGCTCTCAGTGGGACTCCCTCTCGCATCTGTGTCTGTGGTGGTTCAGGAGGACAGCTCCGCTGATCTCAGCAGCACCGGAGGCTGGTCTGGGATGGCCTCAGCTGGGATGGTTTGTTTTGGCTCTGTGTGGTCCCAGCTTTTCCAGAAGGCTACTTTGGGCTTGTTCACGTTGTCATCTTGCTGCATCTTATTGGTCAACACAAGCCAAGAGGCCTGTGCAGATTCAAGGAATGGGGAAATAGACTCCATCTCTTGACGGGAGGAACTGCCAGATCACATTGCAAAGGGCATGGCTTCAGAGAGGGGACGAATGGTGGCCATTTTCAGAAAGGATCTACCACCCGATGACGTTGTTGTTGTCAGTAATAGTAGCACTTCCGCGAGTTCTGATAAGAAAAATTCTCACATTCCTGTCTCAGCTAAGCGGCATAGACTCATCATGCTGTAATCCCTATTTGGTTTAGAAGCAGAGAGGGCCTTTTTGTAATTAACCAGCATTTGGATGAAGAGAAACAGGGAATTGTCTGTCCAGAGGTCAGTCGGCAGCCAGATGTAGGGCATCTGGTAGATGGATGGATGGGTGGATGGTAGTGGGAGCATCTGGGTGAGCGGCTGGGCTTTTTTGCTTACCTCCCAAGTGTGCCCTAGGCCTGACCTCTCCCTTCTGCCCAGGAGCCAGCTCACAGCATCATGGTGAGGCTGGGCTGTGGGCACCGCCAGCAGCTTTATCCAAATGGGGAGGAGAGTGTGACTCAGCAGCGAGGGGCTGCGGGCTGGTGGGAGAGGGGGGAGGAGGCAGCTTCCGCCTCCAGACACTGGGGCTGTAAGATCTGCACTATCCAGGGCTGAGCAGCCCCCTGCATCACCCCAGAGCTACAGGCTGAGGGAGGCCCATGGAGGAGAGGGGAAAGTAGGTCGGGAGGACACGGGCACAGGGGTGATCCAGAACTCTGGGGGGGTGATGCCAGAAATGACAATGTTTTGTCGTCTTCCCACCCCACCCCCACCCCTGCCCCATGCTCTTGGGAAGTACTGGTTGGGTGGGTGAGGTAAGTGAATTGATTGGTGAATAGATGCATAGATATATAATCAATGAGATGAGGAGTAGGTAGGGAGACAGATGGATGGATGGGTGAGTGATGGATGGGTAGATGGATGGATGGGTGGATGGTTGAATGGATGAGTGGATGAATATATGGGCAGTGGATGGGTGAATATGAATTAATAAGATGCTCAGGACAGGACTGTCCCTATGTTCTACTTTCCTGTTCTTGTGGCAGCAGGAGGTAGGAGTTGGCCCCATCTTTGTCCCATGGCCAATACCAGTGCTCTGTTGGTTCTTCCAGCATATTGAGCTGATCTCTTCTGCAGTTACCCCCAGCTCTCTAGTCTACATTGATCCAGAGACCTCCCAGTTAGATAGCACCTTTCATTCTTAAAAGACAAAACAAAACAAAACACCAACCTACTTGAGTATTTGCAAGGGTAGTTTGTGTGGGTGTTATCTACATGGATTCACAGGTCTTAGAGACTCCCTGGTCCAGCCCCCTCACTTTACTCTGAGGCCTGGAAATAGGAAGGGACTTGTCTCAGGTCACCTCGTGGGCTACTGAAGCTGGAATCCAAATGTCCTGACACCCAGTCCAAGAAGCAATGAGGTTTGGCTCTGAAGTCCAACAAACCAAGGTTCAAACCTCATCTCCAGCACTTAACCACCTGTGTGACCCTGAGCAAGTTACTTAACCCCTTTGAGCTTCCGTTTCCCAGTCTGCAAATCTGTAAAGTGACTATATAATTAACCCTAATTGCTAACATTCCCTTAGCCAGGCTCGATGCTAAGTGCTTACCCCCATGCACCCCTTGTACAACGACCCCATGAAGTAAGTGATACCACATCTCTAATTCATAGATCAGACCCCGAAGCTGGGAGAAGTGAAAAACCACTCTCGGAGTTCCAGAGCAGATAAGAGGCTGAACCAGGATTAGAACCCAGGTCCGTCCAACCCAGAGCCATGCAGCTACCACCCCTTCCTGCCCAACTCATAAAGATGCACCTTTGCCTGGGGGCAGCTTCAGGGCTACTGTGAAGGTCAGATGAGAAAATACGTATGTCCCAGCACGGTGCCTGACGTGTAGCAAGCGCTCAGGCCATGGTAGCTATTACTCTTGTAACTTCTTTTACTATTCCTGAGCCTTATTCTCTGTAGTTTATTTTGCCAGTCACTGTCTTGCCTGACCCTCCACATCCCTTCCAGGGAATCAAGGCAATTATGACCATTCCCGTCTTGCAGCTAAAAACACTGAGCCGCAGAAACATCAAGTAAGCTGCCCAGGATTGTTCCTGACCACCAAGTGGCAGATTTGGACCCAGAGAATTCTAGAGGAGTTCACCAAGCAGGCAAGGGCATTCCAGGCAGGGGCACAGTGCTGCCAAGGCCCAGAGACCTGAAGATGTGTGGCTTATACGGATGATCTGTGGCCTGAGTATTTCTCTGGGGCTGGAATGACAAGAGTCAAGACTGGGTGTGTGGAGGGACAGCTAGGTGGCATCCAATGAGCCCTTAAAAGGATTCTGCTCATGGTGCTCAGAAAAAGCACCCCAGGCAGGGGTGGAGAGTGGTGTGAGGCCGAGGCTGCTGGCAGGGAGGCCAGGAAAAGTGGCCCAGGAGGGCCCTCCAGAGGGCCAGCCTCAGCCCCATGCCCCATCCCTCCTGAGGATGGCAAAGCTTTCTTCTTTCCCGTCTTATTTTGAATCATTAGGAACTAAACTTGCCCTCTGAGAGAAGCTATGTGAATCATCCTTGAGTCAGAAATTGCTCCCCTGCCTCAGAAATCATGGCACACCCTCAGATTTCTTTTGTTATCTCCGACCCTTTGAACATCAGGACTTCTGCTGGCTTCTTCCCATCACCCTGCTGCTTCTCAGAACCACAGCTGTGCTTTAAGATGGAAATACTTCCTTCCTCACTTGTGAGGCCTTGTGCTTTCTTGGGAAAACATTCTCCTTTTCCAACCGTGTATGTTCTGAGTGCTAAAACCACCCAAGCAGACCTTAATTTTGTATTTTATGAGACCTCTTTCAAAGTAGGTTGACACTGCAGTTAACGTTTGAATTATTAAGCCGAGGATGGGGACTTGTGGAGTGGAATTGTTGGAAGTTTGTGGCGTATTTCTGAACACATAAACTGTCTAGAGAAAAACAAATCTCCCTGGAGCCTCCAAAGGTCACTGGGGTCAAATCTGAAGTGGTTCAGGAGGAAAAAGCAAAAAGGGGTTTCCTGGCAGGATGGTCTTCCTGAATAAATCAGCCACACTTGACCTAATTAGAAACTCCAGGTCCTCAGCATACCCCATTCCTAAGCTGAGGTGGCCATGATGCCGCCTTACCCCAGGGAGCCCCAGTAACCCTCAAAGGCAGGAAGGAGCTGCTAAATTGTATTTCCCATGTCTTAGAACTTGGGTATTTAGAGAGGGACTCCAGGAAGCAGAGAGCCAACCTTGAACTCAGATCTCCTGGCTCCAAACCCAGGACTCCATTGAATATTCCAATGAGCCTCTAAGTCCCCAACTCAAGCCACACTCTGAGAGTAGGGTCTGGCCAAGCCAGGGATGCCAAACTGTGCCAAAGACTCTGGAGGTGACTTTACAGGGTGCTAAGACAGGGAAGTGAGGTGGGCTGTGGTTCTGGTATGTGAAATGGCAGGGGCCTGTGTGTTGAATTCAACACCTGTTTTAGTTGTTTTTGTTTGTTTTGTTTTTGCGAACACAGTCTCTGGGAGAAGAGTTTAAAGCAAATAGTCCCAAATGGGGAATTTGGATTTTCAACAGACCTGTTAATCCCTACATCACACCCTACACGTGTGCATGCACACACACACCACACATACACACATACCACACCATGCACACCACACACACACACGGCACACACATACAAGTGCATACACATACCATAGAACTGCATTCACACACCATACACAAACACACACCACACACACATACAACTGCATGTGTGCACACACATGCACACACCACATACATTCAACTGCACACACACCACACATACAATTACACACACCACATACATACACTGCACTCACACACCAAACACAAACACACACACCACACACCATATGAAATTGGACACACTACGCACACACACACCACACACATACA